TTACATACTTTCCTTTCTTGTCCTGGAGTCGAAAACCCCTCTAGTTGCGCCTGTAGATTTCTTCATTCAAATCTCCATTTAGGATAGCAGTTTTTACGTCCATCTGATGTATTTCCAGATTTTGCAATGCTGCAATAGCAATTATCATCCGAATAGAAGTTATTCTCGACACAGGAGAATAAGTATCAAAGTAATCTAAGCCTTCTTTTTACTTATAACATTTGATTACTAGCCGAACTTTATATTTATTAATGGGGCGATCCGCTTTCATCTCCTTAAATCGAATTGGCCGCCTCATTGGAGTGCAAGAGGTTTTGATCGGTGTTTGATTCCCAAGATACAATCGGTTGTCGGTTCACACTGCACTACGTTACCCGTCTACGAACTAGCTGTGATATACTCTATCTCTCAAAGAAATCAGAAAAGAAAAATTTCAAAATCGGAAAGAAGAAGATTGTTACTGGAAATCTTGTTATTGGAAGAAATAACTTGTATCTCTCTTATATTTTCAACCGAGAGAGATCCTCTATTTATACTAATAGAGGAAGAGCTGTCCATAAATACATTGAATAGATGAGTTACAACATTGAAGATAAAATAAAGGAGTTACATGTTTTCATTCAATATCATTTGGAACGGATGAAACTGATGTTTGTGTTTTCATTCAATATCATTTCCAACAATAATTTCGTCTGAACTGCTACCTAACCACCTCATACCTACTTAAAATTCTTGATATTAATTTTTTGTGGATCTTTCTATGAAGAGATAACTACCAATTGCCTACTATTGAAACATTTGTGTGTGATATAGAGAGAGAAAGCAAAGAACTCGATCAACGGGAAAAGTGAGTGCATGGGCGGAAATAGGCCCACCCTTGCCCAAGCCCAACATCTGTTAAAAAAAAATTGGTTAAAGCCCAATTTTTTCCACTGTCCAAGTCCAACCCAATAACCCACTGTCATAGCCAATTTGAAAAATTGAAAGCCCAATTTGCAAGCCACATCAAATTAAACCCAATTCCCACCCATTGACGGGGAAACCCTCTCCGCTCTCTCTCACACCCTTCGTCCCTGCCCTTTACCGAAAGCCAAAGCGACCCTCTCTCAGTCTCTCTCAAACTCGAAATGGCGAAACCCTTCGTCTCAAAGCTGAGGGTTTTATTCGGGAATCCAAGACTTTTGATTTTCTTTCTTTTAGTGTTTGGGTTTCTTTGGATGTCGAAGATGTGGTTCAACTTTGATCCAGCAATGCCTTTCTCACGAAACCCATGTCTTATTCCTCAAGAATAGGCTAAAATTTCGAGTGGGTTTTCGAGTACTCAGTTAAGTACTGTGAGAAATGGTGAAAAAGATGGGAAAAATTATGAGAATAGTGAGTTTTGGAAGCAGCCTGATGGGATGGGTTATAGGCCGTGTTTGGATTTCAGTGAGAAATATAGTAAGGAAAGTGATGAGATTGTTAAGGACAAGACAAAATATTTGATGGTGGTGGTTTCAGGAGGGATGAATCAACAGAGAAATCAGACTATTGATGCTGTTGTGATTGCAAGAATTCTTGGGGCTGCTCTTGTTGTGCCCATCTTGCAAGTTAATGTCATCTGGGGTGATGAAAGGTTTGTCATTCTTTTTCCAATCTTTATTTTACTTCTTGTTTTTACAAGTTCTGCGATTATTAATCTTTTAATTGAACCTCCCATTTTATTAAGTAAAGTCATTTTGTGCCCTTTAATCAATGAAATATTCTTATCATGTTTTGTCATTTCTG